CCTTTGTGATTACTAATAGACTCTCATTAATATCAACGAATGAATTGAGGGAAACATACAGTGACTCTACAAAGTTCTAACACTGGAATCATGGGGTCATTTGTTTCTCCAATAATTAGCATCTTGATGATCAATATTGCCTCACTGGGTTTATTTTGGGGGGAATTCCCAACCTAGAGCAAGAAGTAACTGCCCCTTAAATAGAGCCTCCAGACTAACTGAAGCCCTCCTTTTCATAATAAAGAACATAGTATTGATGGGGTCGGTGCTGTGGCATAGTGGGTTAAAGCCCCAGCCTACAGCACCGGCATCCCATATGGGCACTGGTTTGAGACCCAGCAGCTCCTCTTCTGATCCAGTTCTCTGCTATGGCCTGGGAAACCAGTAGAATATGGCCCAAATTCTTGGGCCTCTGTACCTGCATGGGAGACCTGGAAGAAGCTCCTGGCTCCTGGCTCCTGGCTTTGGATCAGCTCAGCTCTGGCCATTACAGTCATTTGGGGAGTGAACCAGCGGAATGGAAGACCTCTCTCCCTCTGTGTAACTCTTTCAAATAAATAAAATAATTCTAAAAAAAAAAAGAGAGCATAGTATTGTCAACCGATCAGCAACAACCAACCAGGAAACTGGACATGTGCTGAACATGCACCTTTCATACTAACTCCAATCCATAAGAACCTTCACCCCTATCCCCTTGGGGATAGACCAGGAATTAAACAACAGCCTGCCTGGTTCCTTGCTCTTCTCATTGCAATAAACTCCTTCTCTTTTCCACTACCTCTTGCTCTTGCAAGTGACTGACTGGGTGAGTGGACCTAGTTTGGAGGGGTTCTGTAGTAACTCCTCCAACATTTTTTTGGGGGACTTGCTCTAAATCAGCAGTATTGGAAACTGACCAAAGGTGAAGTACCATTGAACTTACTACACAACACCTGCACTGAAAGGACAGCCAAGTAAAGCAATGACTTTCAATTGAATAAAGCACAAGGGCACCGTTTATTGTTGAATAAAGTAGCACATGAAGCAGTGATGGAGCAGTGCCTATGTAGACCTTTTTCACATCTCACTTCTGCAGTGCTGTGATTCACTACTGCAAACAAGTTTAGACGCCAGGAATTTGGCAGCAACAGATGCTGTCAGTGCCAATAATCTGGAATGAGGAAGGTTAATTGTAGAGCCTGCTCTTCGCTTGGCTATGTGTACAAAGGCTTGACGTCTCAGTGCAATTATTAAGAATCATTTTCTGAATCTCTCACTACATTTAATGTAAGAACATGGCCCTCCCTACGATTCTCTGTCTATCAGGTTACCAACCATCTGTTGAATTTAAGTGTGAGACTTCTGTGCAGATGGTGAGGGCAAAGGATAAATTACATTCTGTCGTGTGGGGTTAGGACTCAGAGCTTTACTACTGGACAATTGGAGGGTAGGGGAAGAGGTAGTGAGTTCATTTTTCAACATTGTCAAGAAAATCTTATGAAGGCAAGGTTAAAAAGATAGCATCTGCATAATGTGTGACTGCATAGACTTACCAAGCAGGAGAAACTCATCTTATTCCTTTTTTTTTTAACTTTTATTTAATGAATATAAATTTCCAAAGTACGGCTTATGGATTACAATGGCTTCCACCCCATATCGTCTCTCCCACCCGCATCCCTCCCCTTTCCCACTCACTCCCTCTCCCCTTCCATTCACATCAAGATTCATTTTCGATTCTCTTTATATACAGAAAATCAGTTTAGCATACATTAAGTAAAGATTTCAACAGTTTGCTCCCACACAAACATAAAGTGAAAAATAATAGATGATTTTTAAATGATGATGAAATCAGATCAGACCTATTGTCATGTTTAATCCCAGTGAGAGTCAAGTTGGGAATTGATAATTTCTTTTTTTTTTTTAACAGAAGATCAGTTTAGTATACATTAAGTAAAGATTTCAACAGTTTGCACCCCCATAGAAACACAAAGCAAAATATACTGTTTGAGTACTCATTATAGCATTAAGTCTCAATGTACAGCACATTAAGGACAGAGATCCCACATGAGGAGTAAGTGCACAGTGACTCCTGTTGTTGACTTTACAAATTGACACTCCTGTTTATGGCATCAGTAATCTCCTTATGCACCAGTCATGAGTTTCCAAGGCTATGGAAGCCTTTTGAGTTCACCGACTCTTATCTTGTTTAGACAAGGTCATATTCAAAGTGGAGGTTCTCTCCTCCCTTCAGAGAAAGGTACCTCCTTCTTTGAAGACCTGTTCTTTCCACTGGGATCTCACTCACAGAGATCTTTCATTTAGGGTTTTTTTGTTGTTGTTGTTGTTTTTGTTTTGTTTTGTTTTGTTTTTTTGCCAGAGTGTCTTGGCTTTCCATGCCTGAAATACTCTCATGGGCTTTTCAGCCAGATTGGAATGCCTTTAGGGCTGATTCTGAGGCCAGAGTGCTGTTTAGGACATCCACCATTCTATGAGTCTGCTGAGTATCTCGCTTCCCATGTTGGATCACTCTCCCCTTTATTTATTCTATCAGTTAGTATTAGCAGGTACTAGACTTGTTTATGTGCTTCCTTTGACTCTTAGTCCTTTCATTATGATGAATTGTGAACTGAAATTGATCACTTGGACTGGTGAGATGGCATTGGTACATGCCACCTTGATGGGATTGAATTGGAGTCCCCTGGTATGTTTCATCTTATTCCTTTCTATGCAGATTTTCATTGTTCTTTCCCTTGGCCATAAGAAAACTTCAAGTTTCACAGACTTTGTTTCCATCAGAGTGCAGAAGCACTGGCTTGATGCTCTATAGCTGAGCAATAGCTATGTTTCTCCATTCTAAGAGGGTCATGGGTTCCACAATGACCTGGTGGCTGGAATTCAGTGTAAAGGTTTTGTTTAGTTCTCCAAGTACGCTATAACTTGAGCAAATACAGACAGGAGTTCTTTACCTCTTTTGAATTTTAAAATGACTAAAATAAAATAGAATGTCCACTTTGCCAAATTCTCATCCATTTCTTAGCAAGTGGATCAGCTTCCCTTTTACCAAGCAAGGTCAGGTTGTAGTTGTACAGTTGATGAGCTGTGAGAGCCCTAGATGGGAAGAGGTGAGCAGAGACTAGAAGTCAGCCCAAATCCCACTCAGGGAGCTCTGGGTCCTCTATACACAAACATCCTCTTCTACCCTCGCTTGGTATTTTTTACTTAGTGGTACCTTTCTCTTGTGCCCATTAAGAGAAGTGCTGCATCTGTCCCCAGGGAATACTCAAATGGTAACATTTTCCCAGTCCTCAGAAAGGCATAGACAAGGCTTGTAGCCAATCCTGAACTTAATATCAGTTAGGATAGGGGTACTAATCAGCAATTTTAATTTTGCAAATAAAGACAGCCCACCAGCCCTGGAGCCCTTCTTTAGCAATCTGACTTTGCTACGTAAGCAGTACTATGGGTTGTAAAAAACAAAAGTGACTTAAGCATTCTTTCCAGATCATTGTCACAAAACCATTACAGATCCTAGGAAAAGAGTAATTTGTAAGGAAATGCAGGAAGAATTGTTTTTAGACAGCAGATATACAGATTCACAAGTGGAAAGTAGTTAAAAGTAAAAAGATTCTTGCTTTCATAAGATTTTTCTTATAGCACTTCAGCTACTCTTTTTCATTCCCTAGATAGGTTGGAGGGGATCTAACTGGCCTAACTGTTGAAGCAAGAAGTGGGGGTGGGAGCACAAGGGTCACCTATCCTCCTCCTGGCTGTATGGGAAGCAGTGGAATCATGTTTGGATGCAGATTTGCCCTTACCTGCCTTGGCTACTGCTCCAGTTCACTCTGGAAGGCAGAACTGAACAGTCCAGGGGCCCACTCTAAAGGAATGCTTTGTCCTTTCCCTTTTTGTATTCTGACCTTGTGACTAGCCATGCATCTGTAAGTGTAAGAGTATATCTTCCTTTCCCTTTTCACATTTTGATTAGCAAACACTAATTTCTGACTAATCAGAAGCTTTGTTTAGCTTAACAAATAATGCTTGCTTAATAATTCCAGGGACTGACTATAGGGAAGTGGCTAAAATCACAAGGCATAAGCAGGAACTGCCACCATCTACTGTAAACAGTCAAGTCTTAGTTCAAAGGTACCACCCCCTAACTGAGTTCCCAGCTGTCTTGGAAATTTAGACAATCAACTGAGCTCATTATCTTCTCTAACTTCCTGCCAACCCTGACTCTTCCAGTAAAAAAAAAAAAATGCTCTTGTTAACTAGCAAAGTGGGAAAAGCCTGCTTAAGACTGAAACTTTCCCCCAGTGTTGCCAGCGTCTTGAAAAACCCACTTCCTTGCATCAACTCTTGTCTCTGGTGAATTGGCTGTCCAGCATCCAACAATCCAGACCTAATGTGTCTGGAATATGACTTCAGTGGCTAACTTCTTGGCTTTTTCTTCTGCATTCTGACACTCCTCACTTAACTTCTTGGGCTTCTGGGCAATATCAACCTCCACTTTCTTCTTCTGGCCCAGGAGGCTTGTGCTCTAAGGAAAAGCAGCATTACTGCCCACCAAGTTGGACCAGTTGTGCAAATGTCAACTGGTCTGTTTAGAACATGTGAGGGAAGGCAGCTCTGGTCAGAAGCAAAATTTACTGTAGTCATTTTTATGATAGTCAGCTAAGCAATAACTAGAAAGCTTTCACCATCAATGGCATACTTGAATAGAAGAGATTTCATCCATCAGGGATTCAGGATAAAGAGAAGGCAGGCCTGAAATGGGCCCCAGGTAACCTGTGAACCTACACATGTGTCTGGTTTTCAGCTTGCTGACAAACAAGTTTTCCTGCCTTTTTCTTTTTATTAAAGATTGATTTATTTATATGAAATCCAGAATTAGAGAGGGAGAGAGGGAACAGGAGGGAGGGAGAGGGAGGAGGGGGGAGAGATAAAAAGGGGGGGAAGGGAAGGAAGGAGAAAGAGAGAGAGAGAGAGAGAGAGAGAGAGAGAGAGAATCTTCCATCTACTGGTTCACTTCCCAGATGGCTGCATCAGCCAGCACTGGGGCCAAGTGGAAGCCAAGAGCCAAGAGCTTCTTCCAGGTCTCCCACCAGGGTACTTGGGCCCTCTTCTGCTGCTTTTCCCAGGCCATCAGTGGGGAGCTGGATCAGAAGTGGGGCAGCTACTCTAACTGGCCCCCACATGGGACACTGGCATTGTAAGCGGTAGCCTTATCTGCTGTGCCGCGACATCGGCCCTACCTTCTCTTTTTGGTGGATGTTGAAACAAGAGTCCCGGAGCAGAAGTCAGCATCAGCTGCAGCCATCTGGGGAGCAGGGTGTTGGGGAATAAAAATCACCCTTCCAGGCTATTGCTGTAGGAACAAAACAATAATTATTCCTTCTTCTCCACCTCCCTCCCTATCGTACTTTGCCTTGAGGTGGAGGTAGAAGTAGATCAGCGGGAGCTCCTCTGTCAGCCTTCAGCACCTCCCGTTATCATGGAGTCTCTGTGTCCTCTAGCAGCTGGCTACTCTAAATCTTTTCTTCCTGAATTGTTGCCAAAACTTCTTTTGCTGCTCTTGGGTTTGTATTTGAAGCATAACTTTTTTGACTTTAGCAGAGAAAGCATATATAAAAGGCGTAGGCTTTCTGCTTTTTTATTGCTCCATTCACTTTATCTTCTTCATATTATCCTTTCCATTTTCCCCAGCTCGTGCCTCTCTCTGTAGCAGGATTAAGCCTTGGAAGCAGAAAGAAATACCCCATACTGTCTACTCTGTGGCCTCCTTGGCATCAAGCATCTCCATTAAGGGTGCTACTCTCCAGCCTTGTTGACAGCTAGTTGACCCCACACACTTCCACGATGTCCATTGCCTGGGTGTGGCCTGGGGTATAAGGCTATTTTTCTGAAACTTTTTCTGGATGTTCCCTGCACACAACTCCACATGAATTCTTTGTAAAGGAAGGTACAAGTATGCATGCTGATCTGTTTGTATATACAGTCATTTAAAATCTGCTAGGGAGATGATGTTGGAACTCTTCCAAGCCAAAAAGGACTATCTGGTTCGTTAGGAGAAAGAAGGCTAAAGAATATTTTGCTGGAGGGTGATGTATTGTCACATCTCAGTTTTGAAAAAGTGCACACGCACTCTGTTAAAGGCAATTTTGGCCTCATCTGATTGTCCTAGGCTAGAGGTCTGGAAATGAAACAAGTGGCCCAATGATAGCCTAGCAACTGAAAGGGGCCGCGCGCGGTTTAGGTTGGGGAGAGGGCCTTGTGAGTCACATAACATCACCCAGACCAGGACTGAGCAAAGGGTAGCCAGCAGCAGCATCTGAGAAACTGTTTAGTTCTAGGTCCCTCTGCAGAGCTGCTGATACAGTAATTATGAGGTGACAGCCAAGAATTTGCATTTTTCTGTTAGTGACTCACACACACTTTAAGGTTCAGAAATTCTCCACTATGGAGCAGGTCTCCACTGCCTAATCCCAGTAAGTCCCCCAATCCTCTTTTTCTCTCTATGCCTGTTTTTTATAACACATGCAGCAAATGAAAGAAGTCATCAGCCACTGAGAATTACTGATGGTGGATAATTTGTTTTTCTGGTTCCAACCCGCACATTTTTAAAATTTATATAAAGGGAACAAACTTCAAGTATTTCGTGTATATAGTCTTAAGAACATAAAGATCCTTCCCACTCTACCCTCTTTCACTCTCGCCCTTCCTTCTTATTTTTCTTTGAATTTTGTCAGTGACATACTTTCAATTTACTTTATAATCACAGGTTTAATCCTCCTCTAAATAAAGAATTCAACAAATAGTAAGCAGAAAAACCACTGTTCCTCAGGAGTATAAACAAGGGCTATAAACACCACTCAAGTCTCAAAATGTCACTTAAAATCAACATTCTACCTTAACAGAATCCACTATCTTATTTCATTATATTTAGATAGCTTTCTTGAAGGAGAAAGAAAATGTTAAAAAATGTTAAGGTGAGTTAGCATACTGGGAATTATACGTAACCTATGGCTTTTTGTTCTATACCCGTTTTTACCCATGCGATTTTGTGTCATGCATACAGACACAAAAGTCAAATTGTAGGTACAAACCAACTGCAATGCCTTTTAGCAGCTACATTTCTGATTTATAGATATTTTTACACACTATTTCTCAGTAGGGACATGACTGACATTCTGGAAAGGGTAATGTATTGTGATTTGGGATTATCCTATACCTCAAAGAACTTGCAGTATCCCTGAACCCTTGCTTAGTGGACCTCCTAGTCAATGTGGCAACCGAAAGGACCCCACAGATGTTTCTAACTACCTTACAGCAAGAGAGTTCTTCATCTACATGCTGGAATTCACCCTTCACAACAGTTGCCAGAGTAAATCTCCTGAAGTATAAATCTGAGAGCTTTACTCTCAGTTACTCAACACTGTTCAGTAGACCCCCCTTTAGCTGCAAGATAATGTTAAACTGCATGAATCTCAGATTCAGGGGCCCTGGTGACCTGGCTCTATACCCATCCTTTAGCATCGGTTTTGTTCATATCTCCAACCAATTCTGTCCTGTGGTATACGAATGTCTCTTTTTAAAAAAATTCTTTCCACATTCCTCTGCCTTTGACCTTTCTCTCTACCTTGTTGATTTCTCACCTGCTCTTAATGATTCAGTTCAAGCGCATTTTGTGTCTACAAGTGCCAGGGAGAGCTTTCTGTAGTGCCATGCTTGCTCTGTTTTTGCACTCAAAGCAGTGCAATATAATTGTTTACTTAGGTTTTTACCTTTAGAGGATAATGGGATGCTTTGTATCTACAATGTAGATACCTGTCCAGGCTATGGTGGGTGCTCTACAAGTGCTTATTGCCTGACCCACATGCTATAGACATTTGCACTATACACTATGCCTTTCCCTCACTTCTGGAAGAACAAGAAAGGTTTTGAGAATTCTCCCATCATGTCACATCCATAACATTCCATGAGAAGCCAGAGCCCTGACAGCTCTTTCTACCTGTCAGCAATGTTAGACATTTCCTGGCTCTAAAATAGGAGCATTCACTCTCATCCTCGGATGCTAAGTGAGCTTAGAGAGAGCGGGAGACCCAGGCGAGAGGTTCTGCAACACAAAGGAATGCTCCTTTTCCTGCTTCCAACACCCTGGCTGTGGATGCCCTAGCTGTCCATTTTTTCTAAGATTAGGAGTCAATTTTTGTCTCCAGAAAGAAATCCTAGTCCTTCATTTCTCAGAGTGTGATCTTATTTGAAACTATGTCCTTGAAAGAAGTAATCAAGATAAAATTAGGTCACTGGATTTGGCCCAGAGCCACCTGCCCCTTCAGATAACTGTTCATATGTGTGCTGTCGTTCAGCTGCAGCTGAAGGTCCTGTGGGAGAAAGCCCCGGGCCTGGAGCAGAGCTGCCTCTGAGGTCAACAGTGGATGTGCCCCGTGCGTACATTCTCTGGGCAAACTCCACCCACGTGAGCCTGTGTCAGCTCTCTTGAAGGATTAGTTCGGTTGGCCTTACTTTCATTGTATAACACAATCTACTTCTAAAGCATTTCCCATTCCTTCCCCATATTAGAGAGCGAAAACACCCCTCCTTGACTCTGAAGCTGGACCAGGGAGTTGGTTGCCTCTCACACTTACCAGCTGGCACCATGAACCTGGAGCTCCAACTGACTTCCACTTCCATCTTCTTCAGCCAGGTAGCCTCGGTTCTGCCCCTAACCTCAGAATCCAGACTTGACTGCAGGGAGTCAATAGCACACTGCTGTTTCCTCCTATTTTTAGAATAACATTTAGAGGAGAGAAAAAAAAATCACATACCTAAATTAAGAAAAGTTACCTGCTGTGTTCATGGCAGCTTGGGAAACAGAAAAAAATAAAATTCATGAAAAATTCTAGGTAATTAACAAAATGAGTCTAAAGGTTTTCATCCTACAAACAGAGGAAGTCAGGTGTTAGGTTAGTGAGTTTATGGCCTACATGAGGTTTCCAGACCATCTTCCCCAGAGAATCCAGGATACACCAGAATCTTTTCAAGGTTGCTGTGTTTTTGGTAGCATAAGCAATATATGAGGCCCCATGAAAATGGTCTGGAATATTTACTTGTAATTCCTAGAGTAGCTAGGGATGGAGGAATGATGTTCTTTCAGCCAGCCACAACAGTTAACACTAATTTTTTCATTGTGTTTTTAAAATTTTCATTTTGAAAAGTAGAGGGCTCCCTTCTTTTTGTTCATACCTCAAATGCTCACAATGATCAGGACTGGGCCCAGTTAAAGCTGTGAGCTGGAAACTCAATCCAGGTTTCTCACATAGAGGAAGGAATCCAATCACTTGCCATCACCTCTGGCTCCCAGGGACTACATTGGCATTGGCAGGAACTGGATGCAAACTGGGCACTACAATATGGTACACAGGTATCTTCAAGGCCACCTGTAAACTTTCAGTGGTGAAAAATGCTGAAGGTTTCAAGAAAGACCTTTTCAGTTTGAAAAATGCCTAGAGACATAGCAATGAGAGTACTTTAAAAAGTTCATAGAAAATGTAATTAAAGGATATTTATTTTAATGTAAAAAGTTTGAAATCCACCCATACAAGAGATCTTAATATATTTTAAGATCCATGAATATGAGAGGTATTCAAAAAGTTCATGGAAAACATGTACTATTAAAAAAACTGTCCATGGTTATTTTTGAAGTGCTGCTCCAATGTCCTGTAAATACCAGCTCTTCTAAAATGGAATGATTATCTCACTAGAAGTGTTAATGAGAAAACCAACTCTTAAGTGACAGTGAATTACTTTAAATTTCCCTTTGTAAGTACTGAAACCCTGTGCTGAAACCATATTTGGAAAGCATTAGAAGAGGAGACGGCATGTGTGTGTTCAGGAAGTGCTGTGTTTTGAAAGTGTCCCCCAAAAGTCATGAGCTGGAACCTTGGTCCCAGTGCAGCAGTGGTGAGAGGTGGTCCCTTTAGGAGGTGATGAAGTCATGAGGCTCAGGCCTCTTTCCTGAAAGGATTAACTCATTCATTCATTTGTGAATTAATGGCTTACTAGGTTGTCATGGGTGTGACCTTGTTGTAAGAGTGAGTTCTGTCTTGCGTGCTTGCTCTGTTTCCCCATGTTTTACCTTCTAGCACGTTATGATGTAGCAAGAAGGCTCTCTACAGAAAGGGAGTAGATGCTGGCACCATGCTCTTGGATTTCCCAGCCTCCAGAACCATGAGCTAAATAAACCTCTATTCTTCATAAATGACCAGCCCCAGGTATTTTGTTACAGCAACAGAAACCAGGCTCAGACAGGAAGGCAATGAAAATCTATGGGAATTTTCATTTCACAACTCTCTTGCAGTTAATTGGGCACCATGTGGCTGAATTCTGGTTGATAGGCAGGGGACAGTTGCCACATCTCATTCACAGAAACTTCTAATTGTATGACCCTGAGCTCTCTCCTCCCCATCTCTGGCAAACTTGGTGGCACACATGGAGGATGACATCATTACAAGATGGAAGTAACCTGGGCTTTGTCTTATTTTTTTATTTTTATTTTTAATTTATTTAACAGGTAGAGTTATAGACAGTGAGAGAGAGACAGAGAGAAAGGTCTTCCTTTTCTGTTGGTTCATCCCCCAATAGCCACTGCGGCTGTGGCCAGTGCACCACGCTGATCCGAAGTCAGGAGCCATGTGCTTCTTCCTGGTCTCCCATGCGGGTGCAGGGCCCAAGCACTTGGGCCATCCTCCACTGCACTCCCAGGCCACAGCAGAGAGCTGGACTGGAAGAGGGGCAACCGGGACTAGAACCTGGCACCCATATGGGATGCTAGCACCACAGGCGGAAGATTAACCAAGTGAGCCACAGCGCTGGCCCCAACCTGGGCTTTGAATAGTGACCCATGCTATATCCTACCCCACAGTGGATTCTAACATAGGAAAATTTAAACTTCCAGTGTTCTAAACCACTAAGACTTGGTGGCTGTTAGGGGCATTACAAACACAAGCCTTGTTAAGCTGCCCCTATGAAACACGGCCCTGTTGCTGGACAGATGAGACAGAAAAGAAGAGGAAAGAGACTTTTGATGCTTCTTCACAGAGTCCATGCGCACAAATGGAAAGTTTTCTCATCTTGGGTCAAAATGAGATTTCATACTGAATTGTGACCAACTCTGCATGCTGATCTCTGGGGCTGATCTGGAAGGCGTACAGCCTGCAGGTGAGAAGTGTGGGTAGACTTTCAGTTGGGTCACAGTGGAGCTCCCATTTTTCATAACCACCCTTCTCATTCATGGGAGGAGGAGGTCTCAGAAACGTTATGAAAATGTCTGGTTCTAGAGTCAGGGCTCCCTCTCCTGTGCTCACCCCGCTTTTCCAGATTAACACTTTGAGGTTGACCTTTCGTGCCTATCCTTAGGTCCCAGGTTTTTATTCAGCACAGTTCAAAATCCTATAGGGATCCAAATATGTAACATTAATAGGGAGTGTTATGATCTGCAGGAGGTCCCTCCAAAATCCTTATGTTGAAGCTCTAATCACCACAACCCTAGAATTATGTCTATATTTGGAGACAGTGGCTTTAAAGGGGTAAGATGAGTTAGGGCAGGCCCCTAATCCAACAGGACTGCTGCCCCTACATGAGGAAGATAGCAGGGATGCACACGCACAGAGACCATGTGAGCACACAGGCAGAAGATGAATGTCTGCCTGCAAGCCAAGGGCAGATGCCTCACAAGAAACAGAAACCATACTTGCTACACTTGATCTCAGATTTATAATCTTAGAACAGCAAGAGAAGTAAGTTCTTTTGTTTAAGTCATCCTGTTTGTGTGTTTTGTGATAGCAGCCCTCACAGTCCAATAGTAGAGATGCTTACATCACTTAAACCTTGGGGATGCTTCTCTGTCACACATTGGGGAAAGTCTCATTTTTGCCACAGCTGACTCTCACAGGAACACTAAAGCATTCCTAGCCTGGTATCGCATCCTCTGTACAGAAATACTACCTCAGCGCATAAACTGTTTCAAACAGTTCTTCTCCTACAGTTGTTCTTGAGACTTCATGAGTGCCTATAGACAAGTAAAAATGCTGTGGTTTAAGAGGTATGGAAATAATACAGGATAGAGAATGCCTGATAGACAATCAACAAATTTCATGCAGTGGCAAGGAGTCTTTAAGATGAAAAATGCCTTCAGGTACATTTTTTTAAGAAAAATGAAGCATGCAGGACCAAGGACAATATAGTAAGAAGTTCTTTTTTTCTCTTGAATTGTGAAATAAGTTTTAGAAAGGACACCAAATGCAAAAAAATAATGTCAGGATAAAAACAAAACTTTGAAATGCTAAGGATTTTAAATTGACAGCATAAAAGGTCATTTTTTTCCTCTGATAATTTTCATCTATACCAGAGAAGTGAGAAATTTTTCTTAATCCAAATACATGATTCAGGATTGAAATGATTAGCAAGGTATTTTTGCTACCAAAACAGCATGTCTGAATTTGAAATCCTATTTTCCAAAGACATTTCAAAATATTTTACTTAGTAGAGATTTAGGAAGATTTGACCACATTCTCCTAGCAGAGATTCATTCAGACAACAAAAGAAATTAAGTGAGATGATGCATATAAATTAAGACCTCATGGTAAAATTTTACATGACTGTGTTCAGAGGAGTGGACTTTGTGGGAGGAAAAGACAATGGAACATTACTAGCTACCTGTGGCTGTAAAGCAGGGTTGAGTAAATAGGGATTGTGGGCCAAATCCCAACACACCCATTTGATTTCCTGTTGATATGGCTGCTTTCAAGTCACAACTACAGAGCTGAATTATTGCCACAGACACCATATGGCTCACAAAGCCAAAAAAATCTAACTGACTCCTTATCGAAAAACTGTACCTAAGCTTTCTATAGGAGATGAAGCCAAAACAAACATGTATTATGACAGGGGAAGGAACTTCTGAGCCTCATTCCCAGAAGCACCTATTTGGGTGTGTCTGGGAGAGAATTCAGATGAGGTGTGCCATGGCTCTGGTCTACTATGATGAAACACACATTTTAGCTTTGCCTCAAATCAGTGGGAGAATATAGCTGATGGCCCTGAAGGTTTGGGATGCACCTGACCAACCTGTTGTCTGAGGTCTTGCTTTTATGGTAGGGATTGACTTGTGCAGAAATTATAGCCACCAGCTGGCTTTCAAGCCAGTCTTCCTTCCTGGGTCCAGTATGGAGACGACCGTGCTGGTCAGCCAAGCTCCTTCTCTCCTTCCGTCAGGGACTGTATTGTCACCTGCCTTTCTCGAGTATTATTTGTTGAAATAAAAAAATAAAATAGCCCTGTCATCCATAAAAGTTAGAAAACCCTGAGCAGATTATTAGGCACAATGTCTGGCCGAAATTATCTACTCGAATATTTGTAAATAGGTAAAACACATCACACATATATACTACCTGCCCATTCTTTTCACCACCAACATGTCTCCATGGTGTGTTCCCTCAGACTAACCCCCACAGACTGAGGGAGCATTGCAACAGAGAATGAGCTGAATACGTTACCCAGTTTTACCATTTTGCCTTTGCCTGTGAGTCTTTCTTCTCCTGCTTTCTCGGTCCCTTTAACTTTCTAAGCCCTGTCCTACCAAGCACTATCAATTTTCTGTGGAGTTTCCAATGGTTTATGTGGATATAGCACCTTTAACCTCTTACTGCCCTCAGGCAGTAATTTCCTTAAGCTCTATAGCTGACCTACCTTATCCTTGTTTGCTTGGAATCTTGTTTCGCTAGCATTTCCCCCTAGATTCTATTCGGTTTCCTCAAGATCCACTTCCAACACCAAAGTCAGATTCAGCCATCAAATTAAACCAAGGCATTTTGATACAATCAGTACTCACACAAGGCAATAAGATTCTGGGAAGGCACTTGTGACATTTTCTGAGATACGCTCATCTTTCCTGCCTGGATGCACTCATTATAGCTATTATGAGCCACCAATAAAAAAAAGGCTTATATAATGTTCCTGCCCCTGCCTGCAGCCCACTCCTTCATAGTTTATGCAGTGCTCCTCCCCCTGACTCCAGCCCACTGCCTCACAGTTCAAGCCTGCCTTCAGTTCTTCCTTCTTCCAGCCCCAACTGTTTGGATGTCTGGCTTTTTGCGCTAAAATTATTATAATTGGTGAACTGCTGCACGACATTCAGATGTACCTGATGAGACCCAGACTCTCTGAGGATTCATTTTTCCCTCAGTTGGGTTTATTTATAGGCACAGATTTGACGTTACCTGAAATCAGGTTTTTGAAAACTGCACAAGGACATGTTCATTTTTTGTTCTCCATGGAATGAAGTAGGGCAAATATCAAGGTACAGTGATTTTTTTCCTTCATCAGAAAAATTCTTTGAGACACTGACTCAGAGCCTCTTAAGTAGATCAGAATCCCTCACCGCAGTCAGTCCTGTAGAGGAAAACGGCAGTGAGTGAGAACACAGGCACCTCAAAGCACACAAAGGGCCAGATTTGGCTTGACACCCTCATTAAAAAATGACCCCATGGGACTTTTGTCTGAAATTGGGCTATGGGAAAGAGGCCAGATCAAACATGTTAACATTTCCTTTTCAGAATTGTTTAATAAAACATTGAAAGCAAGTTGCCAGTTGGACCTCAGACCCAAGTGATATGTCTAGCTGACACATGGCATTGACTTACAGGAACAGACCTGATAAATAATATAATCATCGTTAATTCCATATGTCTATAATTGTGCCTTTGATCTATAGAATGCAAAGTGCTTTGCCAATATCAGCTTACTGATCTACCTCACCACCTGAAGTGATTTAGAGGGGCTGCTTTTATCCCCTCACTTCCTTGAGATGCTAAGTAGTAGTAAGTCTAAACTCATCACCTTGTTATGAAGAAGCTAAGAAAAGATTCTGCAACCCCTGAGTCCTGGCTAATCCAGCTTCTTGATAACTAAGGCTCCACTGCTTCCACATGAATTCAATAAGCAGCCTAGCTCCTGCCTCTTGCCTCACCAAACAAACGGCTACAAGTACAGGTGAGGTGTACATGAAAATTTTCCTGTAATGAGAAATTAATTTTTTTTCTTTTTTTTTTAACTTTTATTTAATGAATATAAATTTCCAAAGTACAGCTTATGGATTACAATGTCTCCCCTCCCATAACTTCCCTCCCACCCACAACCCTCCCCTTTCCCTCTCCCTCCCCCTTCCATTCACATCAAGATTCATTTTTGTTTCTCTTTATATACAGAAGATCAGTTTAGCATACATTAAGTAAAGATTTCAACAGTTTGCACCCACACAGAAATATGAAGTGAAAAATACTGTTTGAGTACTAGTTATAGCATTAAATCACAATGTACAGCACATTAAGGACAGAGATCCTACATGAGGAGTAAGTGCACAGTGACTCCTGTTGTTGATTTAACAAATTGACACTCTTGTTTATGGCATCAGTAATTGCCCTAGGCTCTTGTCATGAGTTGCCAAGGCAATGGAAGCCTTTTGAGTTCACCGACTCTGATCATATTTAGACAAGGTCGTAGTCAAAGTGGAAGTTCTCTCCTCCCTTCAGAGAAAGGTACCTCCTTCTTTGATGACCTGTTCTTTCCACTGGGATCTCACTCGCTGAGATCTTTCATTTAGGTCATTTTTTTGAGACATTAATTTTAATGTACAACATCTAATATTTTAGTTCTTCCATTCATGGTTCAATATAATCAGCAGGTTTCTAGAATGTCCAAGAAAAAGACTTGCTACAGGGAGACCCAGACAGTACAGTCTGTACACTTCTACAAATAATTGTACAGTTTGTTTTTTGTTTTTCATGTGTAACCTGGAGTCTCGTAAGAGAATAGAAACAGCTTGAATGTAAGAAAATCAAAAGAACTGGTCACAACTTTGTGTAGGTATTCTTTCATGCTAATAGTGGAGCATAACTATAAAGATTCAAATATAGATTTAGAGTAAGTTTCATTGAGAATATTCTGACAGGGATCATAAAAGCAGCCAAATGCAGTGATTCTGCTCAGTGATGCCCTTTAAAATTTCAAACTGTTGCTCATCAAAATAACCTTACATACCTTAACATTTTCTATTTCTGTATTTTTCTCCACAAGCTTTCAAATTCTGCTTTAGCTTCCCAAAGTTCAAGATGGAAGAGAAGAATCTTGCTTTCATTCTGCTCCAGAGTTCCCTGAAATACATAAATTAAAAGCACTAAATGAGGTTGTATGCCCAGAGCATACAGCCCAGAACAAGCAGATCAGATTCCAACAGGTCAGAGAACAACCTGGAGTTGTTTATGGGTTTGTTTCTCCTTTATTCACAGTGGCAGGAAGAAATGCATAAGGAACAGCCACTTGCCCCAGATGGCAGCAGGATCACAGGAAATACCCACTTTTTGTGTGCATGGCAGTTGTGAGACACACACACAGATATCTACACAAATCCACACATACCCACATACAGCCACACATCCATACTTCCAAAAGCAGCCACATACTCTGGTCTAGATCCATCCACAAACAGCCACATCTAGCTATGCCCCCCAGTTGCTTATGTGGGTTTATAGACAACAGTGGCCCAGAGCCAAATCATTATACAACCGAATTATGAGCAGTTAGCCAAGCAGGTGGACCTATTGGTTACCATGACACCAGTTACCATAGAGATATGGGCGTGTAGAGATAAGGGGGCAAGGTCAAAAGGTGTGGGTACTTGATAACCTCACTTTCCCACGTTCATTTCCCTTACAGAGGTCCATTTTTGGACAAAATTTTTGTTTTCTTCTGAAAACTTACTTTCTTCTCACTAATACAGCTCTATTTAGAATTCCTGGGAGAGATCCAGGTTCAGGTGAGGTCCCTAAAGATTGAGACAGGATGAGAGAGAAGCAACTGCTTTCGTTTTTCCATTTCATTTACAGCTTTGACATCTTTCACATTGCAGCTGAAGCTCAAGAGCTTGAATTCTAAAGCACTTGTTAAAATAATTTCCAACTTGTCTATTCTATATTTAATTTTTTTTAATTTGCTATTTCTGATTTTTTCTAACATTGAATTTTTGAGGTAAATTAAAAAAAATTAAAGACAGAGGGAGGAAGGTGATTATTCCTATTATGAGCATAAGTATCTCAATTTTCTTTTTTTAAATGTACAATTTATTTTTTCATAAATACAACTTTAGGAATATAGTGACTATTCCCACCATACCTGCCCTCCCATCCACACTCCCACCTCTCATCCTCCTCCTTCTCCTATTTCCATTCTTAGTTTTTACTAAGATATATTTTCAATTAACTTCATGCACATATGATTAGCTCTATACTAAGTAAAGAGTTCTACAAATTGTATGAAAAAAAAAAAAAACTGTTCCTCAACAGTTGAGATGAGTGCTGTTCAAAGACATTGCATCTAGAAGTGTTAATTTCACTTATCTTGATTATCTTTCAGGTGCTCTATTAGTTATCACAGATCAGGGAGAACATATGATATTTGTCCTTTTGGGACTGGCTTATTGTACTAAATATGATGTTTTATGGTTTCATCCATATTTTTGCAAATAGGATTTCTTTTTTTTTAATGCTGTGTAGTATGCCATGATGTGCATATCCCATAAACACTTTATCAAGTCTTCAGTTGACAGGCATTTGGGTTGATTCCATGTCTTAGCTATTGTGAATTGAGCGGCAATAAACATGGGAGTACAGATAACTCTTTCATTTGCTGATTTCATTTTCTTTGGGTAAATTCCCAGGAGTGGGATGGCTGGGTCATATGGTAGGTCTATATTCAGATTTCTGAGGTATCTCCATAATGTCTTTCACAGTGGATGTGCCAGTTTACATTCCCAACAACCATGGATTAGAATACATTTTCGCCCACATCCTCACCAGCATTTGTTGTTTGTTGACTTCTGAGTGAAGGCCATTCTGACAGGGGTGAGGTAAGACCTCATTGTGGTTTTGATTTGCATTTCCATGACAACTAGTGATTCAGAACATTTTTTCATGTGTCTGTTGGCAATTTGGATTTCCTGTTTTGAAAAATGCCTGTTCAAATCCTTTGCCCATTTCTTGACTGGGTTGTTTGTTTTGTCGTTAGGTTTCTTGACCTCATTATATATTCTGGTTATTAATCCTTTATCAGTTACATAGTTTGCAAATAATTTCTCCCAGTTTGTCAGTTCCTCTTCACTTTCCTGATTGTTTCTTTTGCAGTGCAGAAGCATTTCAATTTGATGCAATCCCATTTGTCAATTTTGGCTTTGATGGCCTGTGGCTCTAGGGAATTTTCCAAGAACTGCCTAGGGCAATGTCTTGCAGGGTTTCCCAAATGTTTTCAAATAATTTGATGGTATTGAATCATAGATTTAGGTCTTTAATCCATTTTGAGTGGATTTTATGTAAGGTGTAAGGTAGGGATCTTGCTTCATACTTCTGCTTATGGTGATCCAGTTTTCCTAGCACCATTTATCAAAGAGACTATCCTTACTCCAGTGATTTATTTTAGTTTCCTTGTCAGATATAAGTTGGTTGTAGATTCATGGATTGATTTCTGGCATTTCTATTCTGTTCCATTTTTCTGTCCATCTGTTTGTGTGCCAGTACCAGGCTATTTTGATTATAATTGCCCTGTAGTATGTCTTGAAAACTGGTATTGTGATGCTTCTAGATTTGTTTTTGTTACATAAGATTGCTTAAGTTACCTAGGGTCTCCTGTGTTTCCATATAAATTTCAAGATCATTTTTTCTATATCTGAGAATGTCCTTGGTATTCTGATAGGTATCTTATTGAATCTATAAATTGCTCTCAATAGTGTGGACATTTTAATGATATTGACTCTTCTAATCCATGAACATGGGAGATTTTTCCAATTTCTTGTGTCTTCTTCTCTTTCTTTAATGTTTTGTAATTTTTATCATAGAGTTCTTTGACATCCTTGGTTAAATTTATTCTAAGGTATTTGATCTTTTTTGTAGCTATTGTGAATGGGATTGATCTTAGAAGTACTTTCTTAGCCGTGGCATTGTTTGTGTATACAAAGGCTATTGATTTTTGTGTGTTAATGTTTATATCCTGCCACTTTACCAAACTCTTCTATGATATCCAATTGTCTTAGTAGAGTCTTTTGGTTACCCTATACATATAGAATCATGTCATCTGCAACTATGGATAGTTTGACTTCCTCCTTCCCAACTTGTATCCAATCAATTTCTTTTTCTTGCCTAATGGCTCTGGCTAAAACTTTCAGGACTATATTGAATAGCAATGGTGAGAGCAGACATCCTTGTCTTGTTTGGTCTTAGTGGGAATGCTTCCAACTTTGCCCCATTAAATACAATATTGACTATGGGTTTTTCCTCAAATTGCTTTGATTGTATTGAGGAATGTTCCTTCTATATCCAATTTGCTTAGAGTTTTCATCATGAAAGGGTGTTGTATTTTATCAAATGCTTTCTCTGCATCAATTGAAATAATCATATAGTTTTTGTTCAATTTGCTAATGGATGGATCACATTAATTTGCGAATGTTGAACCATCCCTGCATACCAGGGATAAAGTCCACTTGGTCTGGGTTGATGATCTTCCTGATGTGTTGATGGATTCTATTGGCTAGAATTTTGTTGAGGATTTTTGTGTCTATGCTCATTAGGGAAACTGGCCTGTAGCTCTCTTTCTCTATTGTATCTTTTTCATGTTTAGGAATTAAGGTTATGCTAGTTTCATTGAAGGAGTTTGGGAGGATTCCCTCCCTTTCAATTGTTTTGAATAGCTTGAGAAAAGTTGGAGTTATTTCTTCTTTAAATGTCTGGTAGAATTCAGTAGTGAAGCCATCCAGTCCTGGGCTTTGCTTTGCTGGGAGGGTCTTATTGCTGATTCAATTTTCATCTTGGTTATTTGTCTATTTAGGCTTTCTATGTCTTCATGGATGAATTCAGATAGACTGTAGATGTCCAGGAACCTATCCATTTCTTCTAGGTTTCCTGATTTGTTGGCATATAGCTCTTTGTAGTAATTTCTGATGATTCTTTTTATTTCTGTGCTGTTGTTGTATTTCCTTTTTCATTTCTAATTTTTATTTTCCTTCTTATTTTTGGTGAGTTGGGCCAATGGTGTGTCAATTTTTTTCCAAAAAAACAGCTTTTCCTTTTGCTGATTTTTTTTTGATTTCACATTTGTTGATTTCTTCTCTAATTTTGTTATTTTTTTCTCCTACTAGTTTGGGGTTTGGTTTGCTGTTTTTTCTATGTCCTTGAGATGCATTTATAGCTCATTTGATTCCTTTCCAATTTCTTGATGTAGACACAAATTGTTCTAAACTTTCTTCTAAACTCCGCTTTTGCTGTATCCCACAAGTTTTGATATGCTGTGTTGTTACCTTCACTTGTTTCTAGAATTTTTTTGATTTCTCTTGATTTATTCAATGATCCACTGTTCATTCAGGAGCATGTTGTTCGGTCTCTGTGTTTACATATATTCTGGAGATTTACTTGATTTCCAGCTTCACTCCATTGTAGACAGAGAAGTGGCATGGTGTGATTTTGATTTTTTTGCATTTACTGAGACTTGCTTTTTATGGTCTAGCATGTGGTCTATCTTAGAGAAAGTTCCATGCACAAGTAAGAAGCATATGTATTCTGCAACTGCAGGATGAAAAGTTCTGTAGATATGTTAGGCCCATTTTGTCTATAGTGTTGATTAACTCTATTGTTTCCTTGCTGACTTTCTGTTGGGTTGATCCATCCATTGCAGCAAGTGGAGTATTGAAGTCCTCCATTACTATTGTATTGGAGTCTATTTCTCACTTTAGATCCATTAACATTTTTTTAAATAGACAGATGACCTGTAATTAGGTGCATATGTTTACAATAGTCACATTTTCCTGTTGAATTGATCCCTTAATCATTACATAGTGCCCTTATTTGTCTCTTTTAATAGTTTTTTTGTGTTAAAGTCTATTTTGTCTGCTATTAGGATGGCTAAACCAGCTCTTTTTGGGTTTCCGTTAACATGAAGTATCTTTTTCCATCCTTGCACTTTCAGTCTACATGTATTTTTGTTGGCGAGATGTGTTTCTTGTAGGCAGCAGACAGATGGGTCTTGTTTTTTAATCCATTCAGCCAGTCTATCTTTTAACCAGAGTTTAGGCCATTTATTTATTTATTTATTTACAGGCAGAGTGGACAGTGAG